ATAAATGAAGCAAAGAGCATAAAAGTGTATCTTTCGACGAGTGTTCTTCAGCAAAACCCTCTCTCGAACTCTTTCGATTCGTCGTCTTTCTCTCTAAGATCTAATCGACTATGGCTACTATCACTTTTGTGGAAGCTAGGCAGATCTTTGACAGCCTTGGAAACGTCACCGTCGAGGTTTGTTTGTTTGTTTTTTTATCCGATTCCGACGAGTTTCGCTCTTTTCCGATCATTTTTCGTCTTGGTATATTCCGAGGTTTGGATGATGAGTATTGAGCAGATTCTGTTATCGATTTGTGTGTATTGCTTCTTTTTTATTGCGACTTGAGAAAGCTTTGTGAGATTATGTTCTGTGACTGATGTTCCAAGTGTTTGATGTTTATATCCGTTTTTTCAATCGATTTCTTCGGTTCTGTTGATCTGTACGACCTAGATTATTGCTCGAATCACTGTCCGATAGCCTTTTCACTGACCGATTTGAAAGCAGAAAGAAGACTAATGAAATTGAGGATTTGTCTGTGAATACTTAGGTCGATGTCCACACATCCACCGGCGTTAAGGCCACAGCCGCCGCTCCTACTGGAGCTTCCACTGGTATGCTGCTCTTTGATTTCTCTTTAGGTTTTATTTTTCGTTATGTCTGCTCTTCAGATAATTTCAGTGTAGCTTATGTTATTTGTTTGTTTAGGTTATACAGGCATGAACGTTTTGTTAGATTAATTTTTGCTTGGTGGAGTTTTGGTCTGTTAACTTATTCTTGCAAACTTGGCATAGGAATTTATGAGGCTCTTGAGCTGGGTGGTGGAGGATCAAACTACCTTGGAAAAGGTGTCTTAGAGGTGAGTGTGTGTGTGTATTATGAAACTGGTTTTTCGAACAGACCAAATGTTATCCGAACTAGACACTTTTTGTTTTGACATGTTTTTCTTATTCATGTCTATAGGCTGTTGGAAATGTTAACTCAATCATTGGCCCCGCTTTGATTGGCAAGGTGAAGCACCTATTCAATCCTCTCTGTGTTAAACGTTTCTAGACGTAATTGCTTAAAATTTCTGTGTGTTTTGCTTGTTGCAGGACCCAACTCAGCAGACTTCTATTGACAACTTCATGGTTCACAAACTTGATAGGACTCAAAAGGTGCTTTAAGATCAATTCTTGTTTGTGCATTCACTTGAAAATGGTAGATGAATTTAACCAGCTTGCTTCTTGTGTTTGTTTACAGCTTGAAGCCAATGCTATTCTTGCTGTGTCTCTTGCTGTTTGCAAAGCTGGTTCTGTTGTCAGTGGAATTCCTCTCTACAAGGTTTGATGATCTTGCATTTATAACTCATCTCTTGAAGCTCTTAGCTCAAAACATTGTCACTTTTTTCATCCGGTACAAGGGTCATCTCAACTCATTTGCTTTGCTATGTATCTTGGTGCAGCACATTGCCGATCTTGCTGGTATCGACAAGTCAGTGGTTCTACCAATTCCTGCTTTCAATGTCATCAATGCAGACAACAAGGTTGGGTTCATGATTCTCCCGGTTGCAGCCTCATCTTTCAAAGAAGCCTTGGATATGGGTGTGAACGTTTTCACCGAGTGGAAGGTAAAACTCTTGAATCATTCGTTAGTCCTTTTTAACTGCATTTTCTGATTGATTCCTCTGGTGTGAATTTCAGCCTAAGATTGCGGAGATAAATGCTAGTTACAATGGTGATGAAGAACCACCAAACATTNAGAACCCCGAGCTCTGTCTCAAACTGCTCAAGGCCGCCATCGACAAGTTGGAATACACTGGCAAGGTTGGAATCGGAATGGATGTTGCTGCATCCAGTTGCTACTCATCAAACACGACCTACGACGGCTTGAACTTCAATAAAAAGGTAAAAAAAGTTTTTCC